TAGTAGTAATAATAGCAGTAGTAGTAATAATAGTAGTAGCAGCAGTAGTAGTAGTAGTAGTAATAGCAGCAGTACTAGTAGTAGCAGTAGCAGTAGTAGTAATGAACTGCACACAAGATGCTCCGGAACAGTCTTGGGTTCGGCAGGCTCAGCCGGCTGCTCATCCTTCTTCGGTTTCTTCTTCGGTGCAGCCATGACTGCATCAAAGGCCTCGAAGAGGGGCTTTGCTCCATTCCCGGTGGTGGGCATTTCTGGCAGCTGGCCAGCACGCATGACACCCTCTTCACCGTCGATGAGGATCTTCAAGGCCTCCGCATCCTTCGCGTCAGCTTCAGCCTTGAGGTTGATCTGATTTGCCGTCTCGTTCTCGTGCGTCAGCTCGGCTCCCTTGCGCATGTAGTACCAGCGCTCCTTGCATCTTGACTGTATAAAAGGGCACAGAAACATGCACAGGCCCCTCTGCCAAAGCACCACCATGCGATCACTCTCATAGAATGCTAACACCACACCTCCGTAAACACCACCCTCGAAACCACAATCTGTTCCTATCACGTATACTTATGAAACAGTTGAAGACAAATGACGTCTTCATCGTCAGGAAAGTCCGGGTCATCGTAGTAGAGGCCGCTGTCGACACGGGACTTGAGCAACTTCTTCAACTTCTGCTCCTCGCCCTTCCAGCCTGCCTTGATGGTCTTGCCCTGCTCTGCTTTCCATCCACTCAACGAAATGTTGCGCTGCGTGTTTGTCCGGTTGACGGTCAGCACAACACGGTCCCAATCCTTTCCGCTTTCCATCCAGGTCTGGAACAAGTCCTGCTTGTTGCGCAGCAACTGATTTGTCAGCTGAACTGGGAAAACCTTGCGGTTTTGGCATTGCCGGTTGAAGGCGTTCCACTCCTTGTGGTGTGTCACACCTGGGCTGGGCTGGGATGAGAAAAAAGAGTCCTTGCTCTGCACTAACTAAACCCTTGTTGGACTGACCCTCTTAAAGTTTCGGAAGGAATAATCCAAGCCGGGATGCTGTTCATGACCACTCGGGCCTGCTGCTCAGTCGCCTGGGTGGCCTCGACAAGCTGGTGCGCCGGTGCGTTGCTGTTCGGGGTCGGTGGTGCTGAGACTGGGGCCTTCGGGGTGGGTGGCGCTGAGGGTGGTCCCTTGGGGGTCGGTGGTGGCGGGCCGGCTGCAACCGGTTCCTCCTCCTCCTCCGAGCTGCTTTCCTGGGAGTCCTCCTCCTGGCTCGCCTCGCTGCTGGTCTGCTCAAAGCTCTCTCCTTCAACGTCGCTCGCATCGTCGGATTCCTCCTCGGGCTCAACCTTCTCATTGCTGTCTACATCGTCTACATGTCACGTTTGGAAAGCCTCAAGCTACATCATATAATCACAACAAAAGGCCATGACAGACGGGACACAAGCTCAGTTGCAGGAGGCGCCGGAAGTGCCTCAAGAGCTTGGGTGTGCTGTTTGCGCTTCTTGTCCGGCTTGTCACCAGCCGGTTTCTCCGGCTCCGCTTTCTTCTCCTTCTTGTTCTTCTTCTTGTGCTTGTCGCCCTTGTCGCTCTCCGGCGGGTCCTGCTCCTTCTTCTTGGGAACAGCCGGAGGCGCCGGCTCACTGGAGACGTGCTCCTTCTTGGCCTTCTTCTCCTTCTTGTCCTTCTTGCTCCTGGTCACGTCTTTCTTCTCGGGCGAAGAGTCCTCCCCCGGGGTTTTCTCGCGGAGTCGGCGGGGCGGTTTCGAAGCAACTTCGGGAGCCATGTCTCTTGGACTCTGGCCCTCAGCGCACACTACACTACAAGAAGTCAAAGACAAAAGCTTGTGATTGAGTCGGCGCGGCCCATGCAAGGGAAGAGCAGTGCTCTGGATTTGCTTTTCCTCTCTCTCTCTCTCTGTCTCTGTCTCTCGTCTGTCTGTTGTCAGCACAGACCACTGTCCACGGAATGTACTGAACCGAACGATGTTAAGAAGAACAGGAGCAATAACAGCAAAGAGTGCTATCAGTACCCGTACAAGTTGTAGTAAAACTAGAGCAGTCCGAATACTAGGGGTAGTACTACTGCTACTATGATGGGACACAGTGTTGTAGCGGCAGTAGGAGTATAGGAGTAGGAGTAGGAGTAGGAGTAGGAGTAGGAGTAGGAGTAGGAGTAGGAGTAGGTGTAGGTGTAGGTGTAGGTGTAGGTGTAGGAGTAGGAGTAGGTAGTAGTACTCTCGTCGTCGTAGTAGAACAATAAAAGCAGAAATAGTACGACTATTAGAATTGGTACTATTACAGGTGCACTCGTACTTAGTACGACGAGTAGGAGTTCTAATTGAGTACCAATACTTGTACCAGAACCAGTGCTACAACAGTACTAGTACTATAGCGCAACTACTACTGTAGTGCTATGGTGCATCTACTAGTACATAGTTAGCCGCAACCATAGTAAAACTATAGTGCCTACTGCTGCTGCTGCTCGTGCTACTACT